GTAAGGAGTGGGTGGGGACACCTTACCAATAGTTTGGACCTCAGTTGTAGACGTTCCGTAAAATTACCCACCTTGGACATTGGATCCAGGCAACTTTAGACAATAGCCTATCGTTTGTACCTAGTATTGACAAAAGCTTTGCCGTATGGAATTTTTATGAATTAAACTAGGCAGAAGGTAGCGTCACCATACCCCAAATTTGGACCTTATTTATAAGCTTTCCGTTGAATTACCGACCTTGGTCTTTAAGGCAAGGCAACATTTAGCAATTGCCTATAATTTGTACTCAGTGTGGACCAATTTTTTGCCGTAAGGACTTTTTTAATGAATTAAAATAAGGAGGATGTAGGGTCAACGTACCCCAAATTTGGACCTTAGTTGTAGACGTTTCCGTAAATTTATTCACCGGGGTATTGCGTCCAGCCAATCTTAGGCAATTGTCTATCATTTGTACGTAGTGTTTACAAAAGCTTTGCGATAGAGATTTTTGTATAATTTAAAGTAGGGAGGAGGTAGGGTCACTGTATCCCAAATTTGGACCTCAATTGTAGACGTTCCGTAAATGTACCCACTTCGGTCTTTGCGTCCAGGGAACCTTAGGCAATTACCTATCATTTGTACCTAGTGTGGACAACAGATTTTCTCGTAGGGACTTTTTTGTGGAATAAAGTACGTAGGTTATACGGACCCTAACTTTTGACCTCAGTTGTTGGCGTTCCGTAAATTTACCAACTTTGGTCTTTTGGTCCAAGAAACCTTTGACATTCCTATCATTTGTATCTTGTTTGGAAAAAAGCTTTGCCGTAGGGATTTTTGCATGATTTAAAGTAGGGAATGGGTAGGGTCCCCGTACCCACAATCTGGACCTCATCTGTAGACGTTCCGTAAATTTATCCTCTTTGGTCTTTGCGTCCTTGGCACCTTAGGCAATGCCTATCATTTGTATCTCATGCGGACAAAAGTTTGTCGTAGAAGTTTTTTTGTGTAATAAAGTAAGTAGATAGTAGATTTGACCTTAGTGGTACACGCTCTGTAAATTGATTCACCTGGGTCATTGGTTTCAGGCAACCTGAGGCAATTACTAATCAATTGTACCTAATGTGGACAAAAGCTTGGCCGTAGAGACTTTTTTATGAATTGAATTATGAGGGGGTAAGGTCAGCGTACCCCAGTTTTGGACCCCAGTTGGAGACGTTCTATAAATTTAACCACCAGGGTCTTTTGGTCCAGGCAATCTTAGGTAATTTAGGGATTTTTTTATGAATTAAAGTAGGGAGGGGAAATGGTCACCGTAACCAAACTTTGGACCTAATTTCCGTAAATTACACATTTTGGTGTTTGGCTCAAGGCAACCTTAAGCAATTGGCAATCAGTTTTATCTTATATGGGCAAAAGCTTTGCCGTAGGGACTTTTTTATAAATTAAAGTAGGGATGCGTATGGTGACCGTACCCCAATCTTGGATCTCAGTTGAAGAAGTCCTGTTATTTTACCCATCTTGGTCTTTGGTTAATGGCAATCTTAGGCAATTGCCTATGATTCGTTCCTATTTTGGACAAAAGCTTTGCCGTAGGGACTTTTTTATGAATTAAAGTAGGGAGGGATAGGGTCATCGTACCCCGACTTTTGACCTCAGTTGTAGACGTTCCGTAAATGCACTCACCTTGGTCTTTGGATCTAGGCAACCTGTTTGACAAAATTGAATTTTGTTATATTTACACTTTGAGCATGGAATTTTCTTTACATAGAATGTATTAGTCAGCTCCTGCAACATAACTTGTTTTGATGTTGGAATGGAACTTTATATTTGATGAGTTGTACCATGGAAGTTATTTTCATATCTGTAGGCCGGCAGTAACTTACTGTTTGACAGATACTTTGAATTTTTGGTAATGACAAATTACAAAATGGGCTAGGTTTTGTACACATCCGTGTTCAACTTTTATTTCCATTATTTGGGAATTTCAGGATTTAAAAGTTCTTTGAATAATTGAGTGGAAAATGTTAATTCATCAAAATAAAATCATCATAAAATTAAATTTATGATTAAATCAACTGTTTGACAATGCAAACATTTTGGATATCGTGCAAACTAAATTTCCTCCTTGGAAACTCTTGAGATTCAAATGTCACTATGTGCAAGTTTTGTTATGACATTTCCCTGAATTTCTTCAGTAGAAATTTAATACTCCAAGATTTCCCTTAAGGAAATATGAAGAATAGAAATGTCCTTAAAGTTAATATAACGTACATGTATGAATACTTCCCCTGAGGAACATGTTGCATTAAAAGTCCCTTAGAACAAAAAGTGTTACTTTAGCAAAATTTTGATTATCCATATTTCCTTGAAGGAAGATTTGAAGTAATTGATTTCCTTTGGGGAAATAATATTGCAAGAAATTTCCTAAGGAAACACTTTTTGCCTTGAGGAATTTAAAATTTTCACTAAGGAAAAGTCGTTTTCCCTTAGGGAAAACAGATTAGTTTTTCCTCAGACGAAATTGTATAAGTGGCATAACTCCTCCAGCAGTGGTGCTAAACCCAACAATTTTAAAACAAATATCAGGGATTAATAGTCTATAACTTCGTGTTTCTGTATCCACATAATTTAAGTAGTTGTCAACTGTTGCACCGGAATGGCAAACTTGTCCTGAAGAATGTTTATACTTAATGGGACTGTGATACATTTATTAAACCTGTAAATTTTCTCCTTGGCAATATACATGAACGTTTCGGAAATAAAGTTTATCGACAGGTTGTATGTTTTTATGGGCAACAATTGTACTCCTTTAAAAGCAAACTTATTTTGGTATTATTATGCATCCCAGTTTACGGCCGAAAAAGATCCGTCTTAATAACATTCAATTGATCAATTTAAACACAATTGTCGTTACGTTGACGATATTTTTGCTTTAAATAATTAAGAATTGTTTAATTTTTCTGCTGAAATATACCTAAAGGAGCTTACTTTTTGTGAATTTAATACAGACACAATTACGTGTCTTTTTCTTGAAATGAAATATTTCAGTTTCACATGTGAATCTCCATACTTAAGGTTTTGACAAATTTTTGACTATTTTTCGATGCCAATTGTTAATATTCCCTTTTAGGAGGGTGATGTTCCTTTGGCCCCTTCTTACGTTGTGTATATTTTACAACCTTTTCGTTATTCCCGTAACTGGAAAATCATTTAATCAGGTATTTTGTTTCCATAAATTAATTAAAATTTTTATCCAATTCTATCGGTAATGTTGTTTATAATGACCATAATTTTAAACAGGATCCATATGAACTTATTCACTTTTTTAAATAAATTTATTCTATAAAGGTTATGAATTTAACACTGTAGTAAAATCATTGAACATTATTTTTATCGGTACTAAATTAAGGCAACATTAGTATATCGGTGTTCAAAAGTCATAAATCGATTGAGAAAAACCAAATCCGGGTTACAAACTAAAACCGAGGGAAACACATCAACTATTAGAGGAAAACAAAGAAACAACAGGAACACTGAAGTGCAACAATAACAAACGCCAACATAGAAACGAACTATTTGATAACAACTGCCATATTCCTGACTTGGTAAAGGACATTTTAAGAATAAAATGGTGGGGTGAACCTCGTTTAATAGCTAGCCAAACCTCCCGCTTTATGAGAATGTTAAATAATATCGATAAAATGACAACACTACGTGATAGAAATACAGCACAAACACACGGAAGAACATTCATTACAGAGAAACGCACAAACAATTAATATAATAGTCGATACAACATGCAATCCTACATCCGATCAATACAGTTTACATATAAGCATAGTTATGCGAACTCATGATCCTACATCCGATCAAAACAGTTTACTTATATTTTGGAATGGCACAATGTCACGCGTTTCTCAGACTGTTTATGACGATTTTACAATAAATCCGTTTCATGTGTACTGATTGACACTTTAGTTTAGGAGAGCATGATTTATGTACTATATTAGATGTAATTGGCTGTGAACTCGCTTTTTAGTAACTGCGAGTATTATTATATAAGTGCGTTGTGTCTTTTTATGTTTTTATGGTCTTTGTGCCTAAATAAATTTCAGTAGAAATGAAAGGAATAAGTAAGTACTGATATTTGAATCTTTTCGCATTTTTTAATACCGTTTCTGTGCCCAGAATACAATAGTAAGCGTGCTCTATGTTTCCGGTCTGTTTGTACGTCTGATAGTTTGTCAATCCGTTCATTCGTGTGGTTGTCCGTTAATCTGTCCGTGCCGGATCGGTTAATATTACAAACCATAAACAGGTAGTTATCAAACAACATTTAAACAATTATCACATTCAACTCAATTGATACAGTAATGACAAAATTAGTACTTAGTTGGTACTAAATTTATTAGATCTTAAACTTTACTTAAATACACAACTGAAATATTAATGCAAACATCATTTCTGAATCTTATACATCTTTGATAATAAGCTTCTCTACAAACACAAGTTTAAGATAAAGCAGCACTGAAGCCTCAGTAAGCCTAACATTATAATTGGATTATATAACTGTCAAATTATGAATCGTTGGATATTAAAAATGTACAAGTGAGTGGTAGTTATTTCATAACTGTTTACTATACAACACGTGTTAACGTACGCTCTTAATTCTTTAATTTCAGTATATTTCTATCTAAATGATGACGTCAATATAAAGGAGATCGGAATGCCAGCAAGCTTGTTCTTGTTGAAAGAAATATCAAAATATTATATTTTCTAATTCGACAACATTCTTGTTCCTTTTGATTTGGAAAAGAAGTTTCCTTTAAAATTTAATTTGACAAACGACACAGTTATTTGTCCAGAGATTAATGCAAAGCATATCAAAGGAAAAGTATGGTGTAAACAGACAGCAGGTATCAAGAGAAATAATCCGCTCACGTTTTCTCATGTGATAATGTTGACGATAAAAAAATCTTGAATGCAATGTATAACGAACCAAATTGTATTGTTAAAAATACCTCCAAGATTAATGACCATATATTTCTCTCCATCTCTGCATCTTTCTTTGAAGTTTAAGTCTGTGCGTAAGACCTGCACTGATAGTGAAGCTGCATCGGGTTCAGTTGCAATAGCAATTTTCTTTTCTTGTATACCAGCCTAAAAAATGCGTCTCATCTCAACAGTAAAATTTGGATAAAGCGATATAAATGATATACCAGTGGAGGTTGTTTGTTGCTGTCTGCAATGTATATTTTTTCAAGAATAAAAAGACTCATTAAAAAGGTTTATAATTTGATACGTCCTTAGGTTAAAATTAGGCCATATAACCTTCCTTTTGACATTATGTCATCCCTGTGCCTTTTATAGCTTGCTTATGTTATGATGTTTTCATTTATAATTGTATCATTAGCACTAATTCAGCATATCCTTATTTCAAAGTTGTGTTTTGTTTACTGTTGGTTGTCTTTTGAACGTTTTTCCCCCCATGACATTGTCAGTTTGTTTCTTGACTTATAAGTGTGGATATCCCTTAAAATAACAAAAATACCGAACTCCAAGGAAAAAAAATCCCTTATCAAATGACAAAATCAAAAGCTTAAACATATCAAACGAATGGATTACAACTGTCATATTCCTGACTTGGTATAGGGATTTTCTTATATAGAAAATGGTGGATTACTCCTGGTTTTATAGCTAGCTAAACCTCTCACTTGTATGACAGTCGCTTAAAATTGCATTATATTGACAATGTGTGAACAAAACAAACAGACGCAAAAGATAAATGTGTCAAAGAACGTCTGATTTCGTTTAGACGTTCAGATCTGAACCAAGCGTTTTCGGCTTTAAAAATGTAACACGAGGAAATCAAGTTTGTCTAACAAACAACACCGTAATAATGTTTTGACAACGTCTCTTACAAGATATACTTCATTAAATACTTTTAGTCTCCACATATAGCTACATATAAAACCTTTTTGCTTACCGCTGATTTTTGTCTGATAGTACGTTTTTTAAAAAGGCAACAGTAGTATACCGGTGTTCAAAAGTCATAAATCGATTGAGAGGAAACCGTATTCACTTGAAGTGTGTAATGCCATTTTATATTTCGCAATCAGCAAAATGAATTCGTTCTAAACGTAAAATGCAAATATATACTAAATAACACATGATGAATCGGCGTATCAATTTTAATGCATCTAATGCTCATGTCATCTAATTTTGAATCAATAGTGATGATCAAAGTAAAAAAAATGACTTACGAACAGAAATTTAAGAGTAGAAACCAAAATAAAGTGGAAATCGCCAAATTCGAATAGACTCGTATAGATAAACACAAAATCAAAGTTTTAATAAACAAAACTTATACATTAATAACAAGGCTAAGAATAAAATACTGTATTTACCTTGCTTGATAATGTTTTATAAATCACGTTCCTTTACTCAAAGGTAAAATAACATTAACGGTATCAATGTTATTGCACCAGATACACATTTTGGCAATTAATGTCTCTTCAGTGATGCTCGAGGCCAAAATATTAAAAGTACGAAACCTAATACAAATTATAAAGAGCTGATAAAACTTAAAGGTAAAGTCAAACCACGAAAAGGATTCAGAGCTATTCATGCGCTCGAAGGAGATACATTCCTTAATCTAACATGATTTCAACATTTTATCCCACCAAAATTAAATAGAAAAATATCCGTATTTTAATGACAGTACCAATCTACTGGCAACTGGGCTAGTGGTAACCTCGGGCACTAACATTCAGCCCGCAGAGGTACCGACCCAGAGGTAGAAATATCATTAACGGTACCAATGTTACTGCACCAGATGCAAATTTCAACATTTAATATCTCATCAGTGATACTCAAGATCAAAACCTAATACAAACATTAAAAAGCTGATAAAACCAAAATGGACCAAACAAAGCCAAAACTGGACAAGGTATCATAGCTGTGCATGATGAAGATACATTCCTTAATTTTAAATGATTTCGAAATTTTATATCATCAAACTTTAATAGAACAATATCCGTGTTTTAATGCCAATTGGGCACCTCTATTTAGTGATACGCTCGGATTTAACAATATAAAGGTCGTCTAAAAGATAGTTTCCAAATATCAGTCTTCCAAAATATAACTTTGATTCAAGAAATTGTTTTTTTTTATAAAATGTTTACCTTTTCACATATGGACGACATCGAAAAATATTTGAAAAATAGATAAGAAAACATTATTTTGACTGTTTTTCCTTTTGTAGAAAAACTTTAATAACATGTATAAAACGATCTGAAAATGTAAATAATATTGAAACAATTTTTAACAAATATTGCAAGTCTGAAATAAAACGGTTATGCAACAAAAAATCAGAATTGAATTCAAATATTTACATGAATTATGTAAACAACATAGACAAATGTTTGCAAATAAACTACATGCATTTGACAGCATATACTATTGCAGTAAATGTATAATAGATTGGGGTCTCTCAAATAGTTCAAATTACAACTTTTATACAGGAAAGTATTGGTACATAACACATATCACCATTACGAACTTGCTGACCGCAGCGATATGTTGGCCTCTCAACTCTAAAACGATATGTTTTTGCGATTTAAGATCGTTCGATACCAGTATTTTGTATCAATTTTGTCTTATTGTCTATAGTGACATTTTGACTGAATGTTAATAAGCATGGCGATGATACTTAGATATCAGGAGACGCTGTTCCTGTTGACGTTCTATCTAGTTCTTGTTTGTTACCTTGATTTGTCTCTTCTTAATTGATTTACGAGATTTGAACACCGTTAAACTACAGTAGAATAATTTTCAAACAGCCATGAAAATATTGTAAACAAAATTAAAGGAAGGTTTCATTTATCAATACAGATGAACATACATCAATCATGTACATATTTTTAAAAATCAAGATTTATACATTTTCCAGTAGTGTATTTATATAACTCGCCAATATTAAGGTTTGAGCGGTTATAAAAACAATCCAATATTTCACATTCCAAAGGAGATTAGAGATAAAGCACACCTGTATACCTAATTTAAAATGAAAACGACTTTTTTGTATAAAATTCAAGCGGACATAGCGCTTTTCTAGATTAACCTTCATCCGGAATGCTCAAAGCTGAATATTTGAAATCTAATGATGCAAATGAACCGTAACAGTAAAAGAGCTATGATACCTTAAAATAGCCAAGTCCATCTAAGGTAAACCTTGCCTAAGGGAGTTGAAACTTAAGTTTCATTATAATATAAAAAAGAAGGACGAAAGATACCAGAGGGACAGTCAAACTCATAGATCGAAAACAAACTGACAACGCCAAAAATAAAAAGACAAACAGACAAATAATAGTACAGATGACACAACATAGATAACTAAAGACTAAGCAACACGAACCCAAAGGTATAAAATTACAAACGGACAATTTTAGAAATGTTTGTCAGTACAGAAAATAGCAACATACTAGTGAATGAAATAACACTTCATAGTTACATGAGTTTTGGCTCGTTGGAGTAAGAACTGTTACCTTATTTGAGCCAAACAGTTTACACCCTCCCAGTTTTCGGTTGTTGTTAGGTTGACACACTTTTATTTCAATTAGTTGTTTTAAATTATAATTCTTCTATCGTGTGACAATATTTTTGAAACAGCATATCATTCAATGAGAGACAAACATGCTACTTACCTTAATTGCTGATTCTTTCATTAAATGCTTTTCGTGGTCATTCCATGTAGCTGGTACAGAAAATACATAAAATACAATGTCGTCGACAAATCTGTTCTTTATCTTGTCCTGTATTGTTTTTTTTACGTGTCGTTTGAAATAGTCGATAATACGAGCGATTACTGTTAAAGCTTTTATTGACTTGCCACTATAATCTTGTATCTCTGTATGCCTTGTCAGTCTCTAATAAAAAAAACAGAGAAATAACTTGCTGAAAAAAGGAAACATTTCGATGACATTTATTCAGTCGAAAACAAGACTATTTGACTGATCAAAGTTAACTTGTGACAGTTTTTTACTGCTCCGGTAGGTCAAAGCGTGAAACTGCGGTCAAAAATAGTTTGTCCTTGACCATTCTTATGACTGTCGTATATATTTTTCAATAGTCATTTTTTTTCAATTAGATAAGGATAAACAACAACTGTCTCTCATGCAAATATTAACGAGGTGTGCGGCCTTGATCGACCCAGGACTTTTCTTGATTTGAATTTGAATTTCGATCTCGTATGCTCCCTACTTAATCTGACTACGGTATTTTTGCGCTTCTGTGTTGACATGAAGTATCATTTTTATGGTTATAAACATTAAATTTTCCTAAATACTAAGTAATTTATATCCAAGGAAAAAGTAAAATAACAAAAATACCGAACTCCAAGGAAAAATCAAAATGGAAAGCCCCTTATCAAAGGAATATAATACATTTGCTGTATCTTTCGGAATTTTGGGTCTTCTTATGCTCTTCAACTTCGTACTTTGTATGATGTGTCTATTGTAGACGAAACGTGTGTCTGGCTTACAAAATACTAATCATGGTATCTTTTGTGAGTTTATTTTTGTTTGATAGAGAAAATTGTGTTTAATATTTATACCAACACTAGCACGCAGCGGATTACCCTGACATAAAATAATATTATTGCTTGAAATCTTTTATCTCGCTGTATACCAACAACAAAAAATGGAAAGAAAAACTATAATGATTCTCGTTAAAAGACTAACAAGCTCACGTTTACAAGAGAATAAAAATTTAAAAAAAGTGTGCATCGATTTTTGTATATTAGATGTATTGTTCTTAACCGTTATAAAATGAAGAAGATCTAGTTCGTTTTTCTTGGTTAGTTGAATCTCGATTCTCATCCAAAAAAGAAGATTATTTATACACATATATTACACCTTCTATTGTTATTTCTTTTCAATTTTGTGTTATTGAACAAGTACTGTCTACAAATCTGAAAGATATGTTATCATAACGGGAGAAATTACACCATCACAGATTCCTACCCTAGGAATGTACATGTATATTCAAGAAGGACGAAATTCATATTTTAACCTTCTAATGCTTTATTTGTGATTCAATTCAAAGTGAAGTTAAGTTCTTACATCACTTCATTTGAAATTTTGTGGATAGTTGTCGCATTGGCAATTATAGCACATCTCCTCATGTTTATATTAAGTAACATTTAATTTGAAGATATTGTTTTTCTGCTATTTCCGGTCACACAACGGCTATGTGTTGACGGTTGAAAACTGTAACCATAAAACCATCGACGACACACTTTTCAGATTATAAATTTTAATGCTTTTCGAGTTGGCCAATTCTGAGGAAAGAAAGACACAAATACAAACACACAAAAAATGACAAAACAAACCATTAATGAAACATCACACAGTTAATTACATTTGGTTGTACTGCTCTCTCTCTCTCTCTCTCTCTCTCTCATGTTGTCTGAATGGTTGTTTGTTGGTTCGTCATTTTGAGGTGATTGTGATGTTTTATATCGACCCATCGTTACAGTACTTCCAATCTTAGACATTAATGTTAAAGCGATCAGTTAGCAGCTATCAGTTCATCATCACCGATCATTGAATTGCACGTTACCAATCCGTCTAACAAATAATTCTGATCTTTAAAAAATCGAACAGGTAGGTAAGGAGACAGTAGTTATCCGATGTAAAAATTTAGTATGAAACGTAGAGCAAGTTAACAAACAAACACTTAGGAAAATTCTATGAGCTCCAAAAGGACAGAAACCTGGCGCGTCGACAAGTTGAGAATCTCCTGCTATGCATGCATCACCCAAATTACGACTTCACATTCAGTCAAAAGGTCATAATCGGGAATAGGACACAGTTCGTAAAATTTCTGCCATGACGATTTACTGGTATCTACAAATCGAGGACCAGTACTTAACTGGAAAAAAGTCTCTAAATTCACCGCAAAGGACCTCCTTTGTGCACAAAGGAGTACAATGTACCACAAATGACCACAAAGGAGTGTAATAAGAGTACAAAGGACCTCAACTGGATTTTTTGCAAGGCAATGATATAATTTTTGAAGAAAAATGTAAAAAAATATTTTAAAAATCATAAAAATTGCAAAGTTTATCATGTACGACTTGGTGTAATCACCGGTACCGGATAGGAACCGACTTCATATTCGGTTTATGTCATAGCTTATGTTTGTTAAATTATTTATAGAAATTAAATAACAAAATTCATTCTGGACAATAACAAAGTATCTATCAAAATTTTCTTAATATATGAATCTATAGAAAAGGATCGGTAAGACAGTTATTTTTAAGCTATGAAACTGACATGAATTTCTTAATCCGTATTTCAGAAATGTGAATACGTACTTTTTTTTGTTGTTGCTTTTTTTCGTTTTTGTACTTTGTTAAATCAAATTTTGTTCTCGTCAACAACAAAGTATCTACCAAATTTTCCTTCTTCGCGAATCTTAAAATGATATAATAATGAACGAAAAGTACAACGGAGCAATAAGGAATGGACAGCACATACGATCTTTTGGCTATTTGTCTCGTTGGCATTTATGGTTGTTTATTGTTGTTGACAAATTTGTGACTTTCTGTCCTGTAACTTTCTGTCTGATTACCCTAATTTATATATGTTAATGTTATGCAATATTCTACAAAAAATATACGTATGAAAATCTTCGATAATTGACAATCTAAATAATGCCGTAATGACATGCATATCCGTAACGATTTTTGAGCATGGTTTCGTAAATTTTCAACTCACCGATTAAACGCAAGTATTTGATAAAGATAAATATTTTTTTCGTATGAAATGACTTTTTCCCCATTATATACATAACTGCATGTCCTGTGTGCTCTTATAAATCTCCTCTGTGGTCCTTTGTGCTACATTGTGCTCCTTTGTGCACGAAGGAGGTTCTTTGCGGTGTTTTTCGAGACCGAAAATTTTAACAACATTTTTAATATAGCATTGAAACCAAAATTTAACAATCAACATAATATAATCATCAACACTTATACATATTTATATATATATATGAAATGACTGAATAATAGCCAACGATAAATCTTACGGGGCGATGGATCATATAATTATGATACAGTACACTACAAAATATAATATATAACAAGTCTAAAAGGGTACAACATCACCAAAAAATAACAATAAAATGAACAAATGTTAAATATTTCGGATAACAGATATCCTTCATCAGTATGAATATGATGCAAAATGAATCTATTCTGATTATAAAACTATAACAATCTTGAAATTTATACAATCAAACAGTTAAACCCGTCATAGAGACGCTTCTATGACGTAGGTTATATAGCTATTGACAACAGAGTCTGCAAAGATATGATTTCAAAAAAAAAAGTAATGTGCGATATGAACTGGTACAATTCTAAAATTTAAAAGGTGACGACAGTTACGATGTTACAACAACGATTGAGTGGAAATACATTCACAATAAAAAGCACTGACCGATCTAAGCTGGAATAATATTTCAAATTTGACAACGGTAGAGTATTTATAACAGAGGCTGCGTATTTAAAAATCCCAAATAAATAGCAGTTTGATTATGATTACAAAAAAATAATAATAAATTTTGACTAAGGTTAAATAATTGAACGTGACTGCGTACTTGTACATCCATCCCAAAAGAATAGAACCCTGTAATTTTCACTGGTATAATTAAAAAAATCATTAAAACTGTAAGAGTCAAGTACGGAAGCCTAAGTTACTGGAAACAAGTGATGGTAGGAAAAAGAGTAATGTATGGCGTTCATTATCACTGAACTAGTATATATATTAGTTTAGTGGCCAGCTGAAGGACGCCTCCGGGTGCGGGAATTTTTCGCTGCATTAAAGACCTGTTGGTGACCTTCTGCTGTTGTCTGTTCTATGGTCGGGTTGTTGTCTCTTTGACACATTCCCCATTTCCATTCTCAATTTTAATGGTAGGGAAAATGAGTGACTCATTCTATGTTTTTATATTTATGTCCTCTGGGGAAACTGTCCTTAGCTTTCGTATCCAAAACTTTTCCTGAGCAAGTCTGTCGGCCCTTGACCAACCCTTGTTGTGGTCTATGATTGTGATGGTAAGGTTTTTGAGATCAGCTTGGGCGTGCCCAGGTGGAGGGGAGTTCGGGCTTGCAGGTGTAGTCACTTTGATGACCATTCATGTTGAATGACTGTTCTGTCTCGCCAACATACTGCATGCCACATCGACACTGAAGAAGATATACAACATTCTGGGTTTTTCTTATATAGTGAATTCAAAAGGCCTTGTGATTTAAGTTTTACAGGATGGTGTTTTGAATTTTCAATGGATTTTATTTAAAATTTATTACTTTCTGACCAGGTATGATCTTTTTAATTAGTGTGCCCCAAACAGGAGGTATTACTTTATAGTTTACCCCTAATCAGAAGAACAAATTTAATAATTTCTTTTTAATTTTTATCCCTTTCAAATTTATATATATATAAATATGCCAAATTATAATAAGAATAGATATATTTCTGATATATAAAGTTAAACAATTTCAGTGATTTTTTGGCTGTTGTTACCTCAGTTAAAAAGATAGTTATATAAATAGTGTACGTAACCATTAAACCTTAGTTTTTATTTAAGAATTTAGGTGAATTAAGTTTTGTTTTAAAAAAAAACAACATGCCAAACAAGAAAGACCTAAATAAGGTGTTAATACCCTCAGTACAGGTGTGGTTTTCCGGTAAAAGTATGTTTTAAAGTTCGTTTCATAAACGAATCTTGTTTATCTATGTATCCGTCCGATCCATGCATATATATTTCATTGACTGATTAATCGCTGACTGTTGCCACGGTAAATCTCACATAGTTTCAATCAGATAAGTCAATTAGAGCTATATAAAATCGATCACCGATCGTTCATGGACCAGCTAATTTAAGATGATGTTAAAGTCACCGATCAGTCAAGATCAAGTAAAACAATAACGCCTTATGTTGGAAGTATTATTTCTCTCAATTTCTTAAAAGTGGTCAAATGAATTGATGGACAGCTTTTGAGTAAATCTTCTTATTGTAAATTTTCAGCTGATAAAACAAGCTGATGTATGCTAATTATGGACCTTGCAATATTTAAAACTATTTTGCATTTCTCATCATCACTTTAGCATTAATCAGTGCCTTACAACATATAAATACCTTTTGCAGAACATTTCGTAGATCTCTGACATAGTAATAATCCCGGTGTTCATCATTGGCAAACAATCTTGAGAACCTGATTTCTGCTTGATATCCAAAAGCAAACAATTCTTCATTTTCATTTAGTAGAACAGCTGTTGGGCACTTCATTGAAGAAAAGCTATGTCCCTGCCATGTGTTTACACTGAATTGAAGACGATTATCCTCAATATCTGCACGGGATGCAAAGGCATACCCAGAGTATGTAGCTCCTATATCCACACCAACGACAAATTTACTGTTCCCTAAGTGTTCCATGCTTATAAATGGCTAATCAAACTTCATTGTATCTACAAAGCAATAATATATACGATAATTACAAAATACCTGTTCTGATATTTTTTTGAAATAAAGAAATGTATCTCCCTTATGTATACCTTAAATTGTTGTCCGGTTTTGCCTTAGCTTTTGGCTCTTTTTGGGTGTCTTTTTTTTTTGCTTATCAATGTGTGCATTTGGTTTTGGATTTTCAAATATTTTAGCCTCGAGCATCACTGAAGAGATATGCATCGTCGAAATGTGCATTAGTTGCAACAAACTTGATTTTATGTTTTTATAATTTTGAGTGAGAGAGCGCACTTCACCTTCGTGTTTGGCCTTTTTAACTTTTTTGATTCGATCGTCCCTGATTGGTTATTTGTGAAGGGTTGGCACGTCTGTCGTACAGGATTGTAATCCTGGTATCTATGATGAGTTTATTTATAAGACATTTACAAGAAAGGTATATTTACGGTTTTATTTCATGACATATAAAAAGTCGTCATTTTTAGCACAATAATAAAGTTCTGTTAAGGTTGCACTTTGTAAATACAGCTGTTTCTCAAACCACGCCTCTTTTGGGGAGATTTAGAATATTCATAGAAAATTAATTTTGTTTACATACTGGTTCCCAGTTATGCTCTCTGTGTTCCATCTCATAGAGACATAACTTGGGAATGTTACCAGTAAATATACATGTGCATATTGTTTACATTGAAATCTGTGGTAACCCTTCATTCGAGGTAGGGGTAGTTTAGAAAATTAGTGTTAGTTTAAACTCTGAAAAGTTCAGGGCATATAAACGTTGAAAATATGCCGCACAGCCCTATATTTTGACCTTTGAAAAAAATTGTAGTGCATATGAACTTTCAATTCTAGGATAAGATTTTGTTCAATACTTCATAGTAAAAGTGGTACAGTTTTAGCCGTAAAAGGAGTTCCTATGGAAAATTGCATTGCCAATATTTACAGAAATGCAACCTATATAGGGTGAAAAAAGAGAACATTCAGAATTTAACCAAATTTTCTTTATCTCACATATTTTAAAGAAATTTACTCAAATATGAAGTTTTATAAATATTTCATGAAGATTGATAGAATCCTTGGCCTTAGATATGATGACTCAGCATAAATTCACAGTTTACAGTATGCATAGTTTACTTAAAGTCCTGAATACAAAATTAATTCATAATATTTGCATGTTTGTAAGTTAAATTGTTAAGAAGTGCTTATATTTACTCTTCGCAGTCATTGAAACTCATCGATCCTTCCTGAATATTATTTATGGGGTGTTTGTGTCCTGTCATTAACCCAAAAGTAAGCCGTAACACCTAAATCTGCTTTTTTGTCACCACGGCATAAAAAATACAAGCTAGAAATACAAAAATATCTCAACAAAACTTACAATAGTGTATTCTATCCTGAATATGTACTAAATATTCCAAATTGCTAGAAACAGCAGAATAATTTAGGAAATTTGAGGCCCCAGGGGCAAAAAACATAGAAAATTGCCTACCCCCTGGGTCATAAAACAGATAATTTAACCTGTAAATGCTATGATTTTATGATTTTTAAGTTCTTGATATAGAAAACAATAACTATGCTTGGAAGTTATGCAAAAATCAGATGTTAGCAGTCATCTCTATAACATTTTAAGTGAATTTATATCTCAGACTGGTATCTGCATACATACAACTATTGCAAATATGGCTTTGTTTGAACACTTCTAGTATATTTATTAGGTAAATTGTGTCAGATATATGGTTACAGATGATACTGTTGTGACAAGAATTCTAAATTGACCATTTGAGGTAGAAAATGTGAACTTTAATTGACAAATAGGCATACAGTAAGATGTGGACTGGAGACAGAGGCAGGATTGGATATTTTATATAATCTTGAATGTTGTAATGATTGACTGCTAAACATAACATTTATAGTATTCTGATATGCTTTCAATATGTTATCAAAACAGTTTTAAACAGGTTCTAGGCATTTTATATCAGAAAATATGCAAATAGGGTAAGCTGGCAATAATTAAAGTCTTGTTTTCAAATTCTTTTAAAAATTGAAACAGGGGAGGGGTATAAAATGTTCAGTAAAAAAAAACTTAGAGTATACACAGTGATTTCTTTCATGCTATAATTCTGATAAATGAGTATTAATGTGAGAAAAACTGATTTTAGAGAGTTTCCTATTTGAATAAATGTTTGTATAGGTTGCACTTTGTAAATACAGCTGTTTCTCAAACCACGCCTCTTTTGGGGAGATTTAGAATATTCATAGAAAATTAATTTTGTTTACATACTGGTTCCCAGTTATGCTCTCTGTGTTCCATCTCATAGAGACATAACTTGGGAATGTTACCAGTAAATATACATGTGCATATTGTTTACATTGAAATCTGTGGTAACCCTTCATTCGAGGTAGGGGTAGTTTAGAAAATTAGTGTTAGTTTAAACTCTGAAAAGTTCAGGGCATATAAACGTTGAAAATATGCCGCACAGCCCTATATTTTGACCTTTGAAAAAAATTGTAGTGCATATGAACTTTCAATTCTAGGATAAGATTTTGTTCAAAACTTCATAGTAAAAGTGGTACAGTTTTAGCCGTAAAAGGAGTTCCTATGGAAAATTGCATTGCCAATATTTACAGAAATGCAACCTTAAGGTAACATGCTTTTTGGTAAACACCTGTTGTCGATAATTTGTCTGGTTTTTCAGGAGAAGTGATAAAATGAAAAGTTTAAAATTAAGAACATTACCTTGACCTTTTGATTTTGACATCGATAACAAGCTAAAGGACCAAGAACCAATATCAAAAGACATTGGTTCATGAGTAATACCGACATTTTACTTATTTTTTCAAGAACAAGAAATAATACTTTAAAAAGGAAAATCAAAATATTGTAAGTTTTCGGTATAGGAGATGTAACAGGACAAACAGAGTATGATGAGAGAACTCTTATAGCATATGTGAATTTTTAAACAGGGTAAACTGCAAAAGTGTAGTTCTTTCCACTGTCGCATGGAATACATTTTTCTGATATAAAGCGGAACCATAATTAAAATCTCAAAAACAAAATTACAGGTAGATCAAAATCAAAATTTGTGTTTCCCTCTGAACGATTGTTTATATCAATTTCATAAACATCCTGCAAGAAATTTAGAGTTGTGAGCTCTTTATTAACTTTTGATATTATTTGCATTTTCATTGGTTACCCCTCCTGTAAGATTACTTGATCAGCTCTGACTTTCAAACTCGTCCGATATATTGCTGCCATACACCTTTTGTAAAAACTGAATAAAAATCTGGGAGGAAAATCAGGCTTTAGACCGCTTACAATCAATTGTCAACAAATTAACATTTCGAAGGGACATTACTTCTGTAAAAAATATTGTAAAGTCCTACAAAAATATAGACTTGATAGTGCTTACAATGTCATTTTTAAGATTATTCCTTTGTCCAATTACATAATTCCTTTGAAAATAGTTAGTTAGCTGTAATCACCCCTCTAATTTTGCCATCATAACGGACTTTTAACAGCTGTTATACGAGTGGGAGGCTTATTAATTAGATAGATACAAAACCAGGTTTAACACACCATTTTCTTCGGAAATGCCTGTACCAAGTCAGGAATATGACAATTGTTTTCAATTCGTTTCGTTTCGACTTTGTCATTTTTAATGGACCTCCCCTTTTTAAATTCACTTTTGAAGTTAATATGTTTGTTTTACTTTTTATGTTTATCTTATAATCTTTTCACATACATTTTTAAAACATCTGGCTGAATGTACTTTATTTTGATCATATAGCTCCTAACATATTCATTGCCTTTCAAATGGTTTTTGTTTGAGGGATTATTATGAAAGTAAATACAGTAAAGTGGTTCTGGCGCATGAAGTTTATAAAGTGATATTTCCATTTCTTTAAGACACATATCAGCACAATTTATGTTTTTGTTTATACAAATTATAATTCAAATGAATGAAAGACAAACAAATCGAAAAAATAACAAAAAACATAAATATACTTACAAGTTATTGAATCCGCAAAATCTCAACTAATTGAATCATTATTCAGATTTAGAACCCGCTTAACATAGTGATATATTGTGTACTTGGTTCACAAGAACACCGATGAATATCTTGTTGTTAACTATGTCGTAATGTGTGTTTACCTGTAAAAAACAAATATTTAAATGTTTTATTCAAATGGCTATGTGTGCCTTTATATTGACTACCTGAAGATGTAAATTGATCATATTGATATGCTACTCTTTCTACATGACTGAATGTGTTGTGAATATATATGTAGATACCATCTATTCCCATGAACTTTAAATAAAGGATACCACATATAATTTAAGTCTGATTCCTTATTGGACTCACATCTGTCAGTTAACAATGGGTACAGTTCGAGAACTAGACTATGTTTTAGTGTATATGTCCAACATTTCTCCAAGTTGATAGGGCTTACATTTTCTAATGGTTGACATAACGTAGTATCTCCGTGTGTAACAGATGACCACGAATATGACCAACCTCTCGTTGCTACCATCCGTCCGCCTTATAGCAGAAGGAGAAGGTTGAAGTTGGCCTTGTGATTTTAAATTCAGTTATAATAGGCAACGTCTGATCATAATGATCAAAAATATAAAAAATATTTTACAAATACAAAATCAGCATGATTTTTGCATTCGAACAATTATGATGTCATGATGACGTCATAGTTGTGCATTCTTAGAACGAGAATCTTAATTCCTCTAATTCTTTGGCTAAATCTAAATAGTTTTTGCTTCATACGACATTGCCCACTTGCAAGGACCAAATTACTTTTTGTTAGGATGTGTATCTGATCATTAAATATCTTTGGATGACAAATCTATTTTGTTCGAAGGTTGAAACCAATGTTTTTTAGAGGAAAATAGACTTTGCAAGTACATAAAAACCAAACCGGCAATCTGGCTAATATCCTGTAAAATTTCATACTTTTGAAGCTGTTAAAACTGTTAAAACGAACATCAGACAGAAAAGGGTTTGTTTATTTAAATTTGAATATTTAAGATCAAAATTATAGAATAATTATATCATATAACGAATTTCAATTTTTAGGCCCAAATTAAGAACTTTTTGGGGGTAATAGAAAACTTTGAGGCTTATCTTGTCTCTTTTAACACAAAGCATAACAATAAGGACTTGGGCCGATGGACTGCTCTCTGTATACGAGACTGGTATACCTGTTTCCATATCAGTGGTACATGTACTGACTGGAGGTTTTTCCAAAATCTCGTCGTGTGGAGGGTGGTGCAGTTATTTCAAGAAGTGAGGCGAAAGATACCAGAGGGACATTCAAACTCGTAAGTAGAAAATAAACTGACAACGCCATGGCTAAAAAAAACCAACAAAAAACAATAGTACACAAAACGCACAATAGAAAACCTAAAGACTGAGCAACACGAACCCAACCAAAAACTTGTGATCTCAGGTGCTCCTGAAGGGTAAGCCGATCCTGATCCACATGTGGCATCCGTCGTGTTGCTCATGTAACTTCGCGGTGTTTGATTTCGGGTTCACTGACTGTTGTTGTTTACAAAGCTTGTCGTCGACGGTAATTCCTGTCTTGACGTGCTTTTGATGACTTCTATTTCGTCGCCATTTTCTGTCTTCCAATTTGACGCCATTAAATCGTGATCGAGTAATTGTTATTCAAATTGATTAAAGTCCAACCAGCGACTTGACTCTCAAAGAGAGAAATGACTGCAACTATATAATCTGGAAGATGTTCTTAAGTATCCATTTTCAATTATATAACCAAGATTAAGGAAATTATTAACTATGATAATTAACATTAATTATTCGAACGTGAAAGATCAATTATTCTTAAGGAATGTTATGTTTTTGATGTTTAATTATCATGTTAATTTTAAATGTTTTAATCAAGCTGCTCATAGCTGTGATCATTTAGACTTTGGTAACGAAAGTCATAAAGTTGATATTAACAGTACAAAGTTCGAACCTATAATTTACCCCAAATGAAATTTTTATAGTAATTTATTTCTCAAGCAAAATATTGTTTTAATCTCAGAGGTATTATTAAATATTTCAATTTTATATAATTGTGATAGTTTTGTTTTTGTTTTTCACTGTCAAAGAGTAGTTTTACGGTCATGGCTTTTATATCACACTTAATCTAAATAAGAATCCGTTCAATGTTGACGTGATGTCTGTCTGTAGATATAGGAAGATGTGGTATGAGTGCCAAGGAGACAACTCTCCATCCAAGTTACAATTTATAAAAGTAAACCATTATAGGTCAAGGTACGTCCTTCAACACGGAGCATTGGCTCACACCGAACAGTAAGATATAAAGGGCTCCAAAAAAATTACTAGTGTAAAACCATTCAAACGGAAAAACCAACGGTCTAATATATATAAAAACGAGAAACGAGAAACACGTATGAACTACATTAACAGACGACAACTACTGTAATCAGATTCCTGACTTAGAATAGGTGCAAACATTTGCAGCGGGATTAAACGTTTTAATGGTACCAAACCTTCTCCCTTTTCTGAAACAGTAGTTTATCATCACAACATAGAAAAGCACACTATAAAATATCAATTGGAAGGCTTAACTCAATCAAAAAACGTAAATTAACACACAATGAACGAATAAATTTGACCTGTGACACCTGAATGCGAATACACAGTTAATGAAAAATTACAAGGGATAAATAATTAAAAACAAAAGTAAATAAACAGGTTTAAACAAAGTTAAAGTATGATATCACTGTGAAATTTCAAACAATTTTTAGAAAATCATCACTTTTGAAGAAACCTTCGTCATATTATACACAGGTTAATGAAAATAATTTTGTTGTTAAGTATACTTCTTCTTCTGTGTGTATAAAATCTTCCGTTTAGGAATACCAAGAAATTTCTTTAATATCAATAAAAATAATCTAACACTTGGTACATATGGGGTGAATATCAACAATAAAAATATACAATTAGTGCTAGATAAAACTTCCTGTATAGGTCCAAGAACAGCATCTAAGGAAAAATGAAATAATTTTGATATTTAGAGTACGAAGAAGTGAAAATTTGTAGTAAATTAAATACCAAATAATCAAAGCTGGTATATAGACAAGATCCATGTTAACATTAAATAACAAAAAAGCATTACAAATAGTATCAACAGGTCAAATTAAAAAGAAAGTACGATTTGAGAGTATTCGCAGTTACTGACAGCCAGTTAAAAGCCAAAACAATTAATAATAAAAAAATCATGCATCAGAGACTTAAATCAACTAAAATACATCCCAGGGATTTAGTATTTTAACGTCATGAACAGTCAAAGAAGACATGACTTGTGCAATGCCAAAAATAAATGTATCGACAGGCAGTAGGATAGTTAGGAGTGACTTCTTTATAGATAAAAATGAATATGTGTGTGTCTCTATACATCCCGTTTGAAAAGAAAATACAAATTTAGTTATGTTTTAATTTGCTAATGACAAAATCGATATTAGTGCCAATGTTAACTATATTTAGAGATTTAATTACAACATTGGTACGATAACCCTTACTAATAAGTTTGTTTAAAGGTTCGATGAGTTTACACGGATCATCTAATGATTTCCGCGCTTTAAGTACAATATTACCATAAAATTTAGGATGTGAAATACCATTTTTAATAAGTTTTCTACAGGTACAGCCAAATTTACTAATCAAATCTTTGTATCTATGAAAGAATTTAGTAAAAGTTTTAAGTAATTTATTGTAACGAAATCCCTGACTTAATAATTTACCAGTGATGCATCGATTACATTCGTTAAAATCTATGACATCAATACACACACGGGCATACCGAACGAGTTGGGATATATAATCACCGTATGATGGAGCCAAAGGCACATCGCCGTCTAAAAAAGGAAAATTAACAATAGGGACCATTTATGATCAAATAAAGAAAAACAGATTGATAGTTTAATACTTAAGTATTATAAAACTAAAACCATCAGTAAGCATTTCCTATGATGAAAAAGAAAATATAAAGTGACAAGTGTAATGGTTATATAAATGTTTATTTTATAGATATGGCTACAACTATTATGAACTAGCCACAATCGTATAAAGGTTCAGTTCATTACAATGATGTTGAAAATCAACAGATGTTCAAACCTAACATCAGGAATAACTCTTTTTATGGTTTAAAGAAAATGTTTGATTATTTTTTTCTCTTATAACGATGTCATTCTATATTTTGAAATTGCTATAATTTTACTCAAAAACGTTCAAATATCATGAGTATCCATAATCTTCCTTAAAAAAATAGCAAAAAAAAAATCAACTTACCGGTACAATTGAAAAGAAGAACATAATTAAACCAAGACATAAATATATATTTCATAAACTACAGAACCTAATTATCAATGAGACAGAAATCCAGTATGTTGGCATGTTTAACAATTAAGCGCTTTAAGGGTCTTATTTAAATTATATTTTATATCAGAACTCCTGGTATCATACATATACTGAAGACTCTCACATATCATATATATCATATAAATATTTCTTTTTTTCGGAATTAGCGTCACATTGAAAATTTATTTTTGAGAAAATTATTTATTCACCTAGCCATTGCTTTCAACTGTGTTTATTAATTTTTATTTTATGTGTTTATTAATTTCTATTTTATGTGTTTATTATTTAAGAAGTGCTAACTTAAGCGTGGCTAGCTCAAATGTGTATTTGATCTGTTTGGCTTAATTGTATTTTTTTTCTAATGGCTTGTCGCTTATTTGCCTATTTGCTTATTTGCTTATTAACATTTTTGGTGTGACTACTAGTTAAATTCTTTATCCTGTTCTGTGAAATATATTTGTTTGCATGTCTTATTACTATATATTGTGCAGTAAAACAATTGAGTAACTTTGATTTCGTTTGTGAAGCCTGCATGTAATTAAGAGTTTAAGAGTATACTTTATATAATGATTGATGTCAGCACTCGTGGTCTAGTGGTATCTTGCATAGAATTAAGACTGTAATGATTTGTGATGGAAATAAGACCAAGTTAAAGCCCTTGATATGAAACTCGTAAGATTGTAAGTTATATATCATCAGCTCAGTAGTCAGTACTTCGGTACT